AAACTTGCTAATTAATGAAGGAAAAGTGAAGGAAATGAGTGGGGAATTACTTATCCAAGTGGTCTTGAAGAATGGGGGCTTTAATGGCTTCCTAAAGCTTGGGAGAGAAGAGAGCTCGTGAGAAAATTGGATAAATCCCGTAGGTTCTGATTCTGAAATTTTAAAATTATAGCTGGGCGATTTTGTTCTATGCGTTTGCGACCAAGGGGTCGCGTTCGCGAAGACGGGTGGACTGGAAGCATCGCGTTCGCGATAGTGGGGTTGCGAACGCGTAGAGAAATTTTTCTGGGGTCTGGGGTCTGGGGTCTGGGCCTACGCAAACGCGATAGGAGATACGCGAACGCGTAGAGAAATTTTTCTGAGGTCTGGGGTCTGGGCCTACGAGAATGCGATAGGAGATACGCGAACGCGTTGAAGGAAGCAGCAGAGGTTCGCGATCGCGATGGCCAGAATGCGAACGCGAAGGAGGGAGAGAGCAAGGCTATGCGAACGCGAAGAAGGGTCTTTCTGTGTAAAAATTGCAGAAAAATCTGAAGTCTTTCTAAGTTTAAAAACACCTCCGAAAACACTCTCGAGCCCTCGGGGCTCCTAACCAATCACACACACTAACTCAACAACATCCTACGAACTTACTCGAGCGACCAAGCCGCCAAAATAACATCAAAATCATTGAATCAAGCCCCAAATTCATCATTTTTCATTATAACTTCCTAATCTTCCAACTTTAGATATTTAGGTCCGAAACACGTCAAATGACGTTCGATTTCGACCAAACTTTACAGAAAGCGCTTAACACATATTTAAGACTTGTACCGGGCGTCGTAACCAAAATACGAGCCCGATACCATAGTCTTTTAATTAATTTTCATTTCTATTTTACTTAATAACTTCAGAAAAACAATTTCACAGAAAAATTCTTTTACTCGGGTTCTAGACCTCGGATTTCGACTCCGGGCACATGCCCGAGTCCCATATTTTTCTACGGACCCTCCGGGACCGTCGAATCACGGGTCCGGGTCCGTTTACCAAAAATGTTTACCGAAGTCAACTTAAATCATTTTAAAGCCACATTTTGAAATTTTTTTCGTAGAATTTAACATATAGTCTTTCCAACGCGCCGGGACTGCATACGCAAATCGAGGCAACTAAAGGTGAGGTTTTCAAGGCCTCGAAAGCGCAGAATAAATGAGGAAACAGGTGATGACCCCTTTGGGGTCGTCACATCCTCCACCTCTAAAACGACCGTTCGTCCTCGAACGGACAAAAGAAGGAAGTACCTGAGTCGGGAAATAGATGGGGATAACGGCTCCGTATATCGGATCCAGACTCCCAGGTCGAGGCCTCAGGGGGCTGACCTCTCCACTGAACATGAACAGAGGGAAGCTCCTAGATCTCAACTGACGAACCTGCTGGTCTAGAATAGATATCGGCTCCTCCTCATAAGATAAATCCTTGTCCAATTGGACAGTGCTGAAGTCTAACACGTGGGTAGGATCGCCGTGATACCTCCGAAGCATAGACGCATGAAAAACTGGATGCACGGCTGATAAGCTAGGTGGCAATGCAAGTCTATAAGCCACCTCTCCCACTCGATCAAGAATCTTAAATGGGCCAATGAACCTAGGGCTAAACTTGCCCTTCTTCCCAAATCTCATCACGCCCTTCATAGGCGACACTCGGAGCAAGACCCGCTCACCAACCATGAAAGCTACATCTCGAACCTTACGATCCGCATAACTCTTTTGTCGCGACTGAGCCGAACGAAGCCTGTCCTGAATGATCTTGACCTTATCCAAGGCCTCCTGAACTAAATCTGTACCCAATAACCGAGCCTCTCCCGGCTCAAACCATCCGACTGGAGGCCGACATCGCCTACCATACAACGCCTCATATGGAGCCATCTAAATGCTGGACTGGTAGCTGTTGTTGTAGGCGAACTCTGCTAAAGGCAAAAACTGGTCCCACGAGCCTCCAAAATCAATGACACAGGCTCGGAGCATATCCTCCAATATTTGAATAGTCCTCTCGGACTGGCCGTCCGTCTGAGGATGGAACGTTGTGCTCAACTCAACCCGTGTGCCCAACTCTCGCAGAATTGCACCCCAGAAACGCGAGGTAAACTGCGTACCCCGATCCGAAACGATAGATGCCGGCACACCATGAAGGCGAACAATCTCCCAGATATAAATCTCATCTAACCTCTCGGATGAATAGGAGACTGCTACAGGAATGAAATGCGCTGACTTGGTCAGCCTATCAACAATAACCCATATCGAGTCGAACTTCTTCCGAGTCAACGGAAGTCTAGTAACGAAATTCATGGTAATCCTCTCACATTTCCACTCGGGAATCTCAATCCTCTGAAACAAACCACCAGGCCTCTGGTGCTCATACTTAACCTGCTGACAGTTCAAACATCGAGCCACATATGCAACAATATCTTTCTTCATCCTACGCCACCAATAATGTTGCCGCAAGTCCTGATACATCTTCACGGCGCCCGGGTGAATGGAACACCGGGAACTGTGGGCCTCCGCTAAGATCAACTCTCAAATCCCATCGACATTGGGCACACAAACTCAATCTCAAAACACCATCATCATCTAAGGTCACCTTCGTGGCACCTCCACTCTGCACCGTGTCTCTCAGGAAACACAAATGGGAATCATCAAACTGCCGATCACGGATACGCTCCAATAATGAAGAACGAGCGACCGTGCAAGCTAACACTCTGCTAGGCTCAGAAATGTCCAACCTTACAAACCGATTGGCCAAGGCCTGAATATCCAAAGCAAGCGGTCTCTGGCTGACCGGAATATAAGCAAGACTACCCATGCTGGCGGACTTTCTACTCAATGCATCGGCCACCACATTGGCCTTCCCCGGGTGATACAAAATAGTAACATCATAGTCTTTCAACAACTCCAACCATCTTCTCTGCCTCAAATTCAATTCCTTCTGCTTGAACAAGTACTGAAGGCTCTTGTGGTCAGTGAACACCTCACATGCCACGCCATACAAATAGTGCCTCCAAATCTTCAAGGCGTGAAGAATAGCTGCCAACTCTAAATCATGCACTAGATAGTTCTTCTCCTGAATCTTCAACAGTCTCGAAGCATAGGCAATAACCTTGCCACCCTGTATCAACACTGCACCAAGCCCAATATGGGAAGCATCACAACAGACTGTATAGGGCCCTGATCCTGTGGGCAAAACCAACACCGGTGCTGAAGTCAGAGCTGTCTTGAGCTTCTGAAANCAGAGTTCAGAGGGTTCTCAAGAGGATCCCAAGGCTGTATACATACTGGAGGGGGCAGAACTTATTGACTTAGGAGTAGAGTGAGAGTGCTTGACATAGTTTGAAAGGGTTTTAGTAAGAAAACAATGTTAAAAGAGACTTGTTTGAAACAGTTTTGTGGAATAAAAGAGAGGGTCATGCAATGAAACAACTTTGAAAAGAGAGAGTTACATGATCAAGCAACAGTGAATCAAACATGGAATCTAAAATCACATCAGTAATGTTCACAGGACCAAAGACAAGAGGAAAGAAACTACACACAAGGGTGATGGGGATTGTGCGCACATAGAACATATGATTGTAAACGCAGAACCAGCCAAGGTCTTAGGAAGTGGTACAGACATGCTCAAACACAACTGATCAAGCACAATAACAGAACCAGCAATACTTAAGGGGGTTTAGTAGGATCTAAATGATTTAAGACCAATTCCAGAACCATACAAGTCAAGAGTGTAGATCCTAAGTTTTTATTCTCTCTTTTTGTCTCCATATACACACTAACCCCCCATATTGTTCCTAATCTCCATTGGAGGACAATTCTCATTCACAATGTATTTGATTTCTATAATTTTTTCCGAAGTATCAATCATTAGTTGCTCTGTAATTGTAGAAATCAACATACTGTAACTTGCATCCTCATCGAGCACAATGCCATCAACTTGAAAATCTCTAAATCTGCCATAGCTATCCCAATTGCCATTAAAATGTAGCATGATTGGGATTTTGGAAATGATTGCGTGTCGTTGCTGAGGTATTCTTCAATATTTTGTCGCTTTTTTGAATTTTGGATTGACAAAAAAAGACAAGAACAGAGAATCGGCAGAATTGAGTTCTACAATTTGACTTGAATTTGTTGAATATTTTGTCGCTTTTTTGATTAGTGCATTGAGGAAAAAAGTCGACAAACTGAGATTTGTAGAACTGATTTCTACAATTTGAAATTGAGCTTCTGATTTCGACGAACTGAGATTTTGATTTGTAGCGATTGTGAGAATACCGAAGAACAGAATTTGATTATAAGTTGAAGATAAAGGATTTCCGTGATATGATTTGATCTGATTTACGCCAAATCTTTTTAGAATATTCTGTTCCTGAATTTTAGCTCGACAAATTAGGAAGATTCAGCTACTATTAATTAGTATTTAATGATTGGTATAATAACTGTAGAAAAAATGTGGACAGGGCGAGTAAATTAGAAACTATGCACATTTTTGGTAATAAGGTTTCATATATGGTATAGGAAAGAAAAAATCTCTTTAATTATAGTAAATTAGTATGGTTGGATATAAATACTAGGTGCAGTAAATTTTTACCGCACGTCCATCGTCTATTGCAACTTTGGCCAATCTGAGCTAATTTATCTCTTGCAGTGCGTGCTATTTTGTAAAGTTAAATGCAACAGCCGTGCAAATTACCCAATCCTGACACAGGAAAGTAGTGACAATAAATAACAATACCGGGCTCTATGAGTCTGGTAGTTGAAATGAGTACAATCTGAATCCCTTAACGAGGATCCATTGGAGGGCAAGTCTGGTGCCAGCAGCTGCGGTAATTCCAGCTCCGATAGCGTATATTTAAGTTGTAGCAGTTAAAAGGCTCGAAGTAAACATGTTCCGCAGAGTGGCAATGACTTCTATACAACAAGATCTTAGCAGCAATTCATTCTTTTGCCTTACCAAGATTTTTAACTCCCACCAGCATGGAAAGAACTCTTGTTACACTACATAAATCTTTATTCTGGTGAACCAGTTAACATGATATCAGTTCCATCAATAAAGTTTGTAATGTTTCTAACAAATAAGAACCAAATCCGTCGGACAATAAAGTTAAAATTGCATCTTATCACAAACAGTTGCAAACAAACTCACAAGCTCATACATGATCCATTCATACATTCATACAGTGGATGGTTCTGCTCTGCGACGTTTTGTCCAACTATCTCAATAGCCTAACTGACAAGCTGAGTGTATACATATAGCATACATAAAAATTGAACTGCTATACCTCCTAGCAGCAACTTGGCCAATGTCCATTATGCAAGTAGACCAAAGTTCCACAATAGGTGCAGAATTTCTCAGTATAACACCAAATTGTTGAACTAATGTTGGTGTCTAAATATATGCAGTTACTATCCGGTGACATTTGCATCCTTTCCTGTGGCAAAAATGTTTTCAGATAATCATATCACTGTTCAACCATAATGCAAACACATGAGCTTTGAAGAACTGCAAACACTTGCAAATTATACCGAGCCAGGAGCAAAGAGAACCTCAAGGCAATGTTACGTTGTGTAAGGTGAAAAACACAAGAGGAAAAGCTCTCGTGTTGCATCTTTCTTGGATATCCTATTGATTCGGATCATATTCTTGAAATCCACTCTTGAATCTCTCGACCATTTTAATTTCTTCTTCTTTGCTATCCTTACAATTTCTCCAATCAGCTCTATCTGCCACATTTAGCAAGCCTGCCAAAACCTGTGACACATTCACACAAAACAAAGCAAATTACAGCTGTTAAAAGCATATTTTACATAAAGAAGATGCAAAGTAAGCGTCAATTAACTGTTGAAAATTTTAGCCACGAGATACATTATTAGAGTAAAGGGATGATTGCAAGGATCAACCTAAGTTAAATTTATATGGAAGTGTTTCTGCTAGAAGTATATATAAAACATTTTTCTACATGGTTAAAATCCTAACCCCCCCCCCCTTCCCTCCCAACAAATCCTTACCCAGGAGCCAACTAGTGCCTTTTCCCCCCTTTGTTAACTTGGTGACTCGAAACTCCAACCGCATAGCTGGAGGTGGAAGCCCCCCCCGCCCCACACACACACACAACCCACACACACAACCCCCAACCCTTTTTTCTTTTTCACACCAGGCTGTCCCTCCCTTGTCAGAAAAATATAAACATCTTACCTCACGACCAAATTGAGCTGGGAATTTCTCATTCTCCTCCACAACATGTGACAAAATACCACCTCCAGGAACTTCAACATAAAATAAGCTGCAACTTCTGTCAAACTGTGTCCGCAACGCTTGTCTTCCTTCTGCAGTAAGAAGAAAACACCACATGAATGTCATCTCTAGACTGAACTGCTCCCACCCTCCCACACGAGACAATCTATGACACTTAACAGACAAAACAAAACAAGCACCAGAGGAGTATTTTTAAATCCATGAGGTTTCGTCCATAACCATGCTAACCCACATTTCCAATTAGCAGAGAACAGAGGAGAAAAGGATATAATGAGAAAAACAGAGGTTTAGAATTTTGAGCATCTGCAGTGATGAGGCATTAAAGGACAACGAAGAATAGCTAAGGCTGAGGCATGAATGCAGAGTTGAGCTGCTTTTTTCCACTGTTCTGTTGTCTCTACCTTTACCAGTTTTCTTTTATTGATCAAGTACTTTACCAGTTTTCTTCTATTATCTGGTTGGGGAATGGGGGAGGGATTCTGACTCCATGGCCTTATGCAATACAGAAGTCAGTAACCATACCTTTAATTATGGTAAATTTGAATCCCAATTTTTCAGCAGCCAAGTTAAAAATATCTTGAACCAAAGATGCCCTGGACGAAGGAATAGGAACAACCTACAAGATACACAAAGAGTGGAGATTAAAATAATGGAAAATAAGAAGTAATAAAAACGAAAGAATAATGGACAAAAGAATTGTGAAAGGAGAATAACAATTACATAATTGTGCATCATTCATCAATGTTAAAAAAGGAGATTGAGCCGTTAAGGCAAGACAGCTGCAATTTGCCCCAAGGTGTACAATTAAACACATACTTCTAAAAGATGCAAGTTAAGGCATGTCTATGTTTTTAAGGCTTTGGCTCTTTCGGTGTCCTTGATGTAAGCCTCACATGACGAGCGTCAGTCACATGATCCTTGAATGGGTCTTTCTTCTTAACCACCGGTTGGGTAAATCGTACTCAAGCTTTAATCAGTTTCCACAAACAGAGCATTTTCTCTCTTCTTTTCCTTTTCAAACCAATAAGTATTTAATTCAGACAAAAGAGCACAAAGAAAGTGCATGAATATGTAAAATCTTTTGTAAAATGTGAAAAGCAAGGGCCTGTTCCATTGCCATTTAGCTTTTAATGTTTGAATGGCGTTTAATTTCCTGTGCAGCTTTTACAAGCTTTCTGGTGATTTGCTTACATTTTTCATTCAATTTGACCTCTCACTCGTACTTCAATTATAAATACTAATTCCAGTTAGGTAATGTTTGTGCCTCATGGTGTATGCCTCTCTGCGACTGATGAACGCCGACAGCTCTTTAACAAAGAACTGAATACTGAGAGAAAACGATCAAGTAATGGCACTCTATGGGAGGTTTTCTAATCAAACCCAATACTAAGGATAAGTTCTGTGTTTACTCAGAGTTCCTAAAGCCGAAGATCTCAAATAGAACAATACATGTACGAGCTGCTACGCAGCACCTTTTTCTGTCAGTACAAGCTACTGCAACACCTTATGCCCACTGAGCTATGCTTGGAAAACTGCGGTACTTGATACATAACGAAAACAAGAATTCAAGTTTGTCTGAAATATTGGTTAAACTGCTATCATATCTTAGAAAGTAGAGTGCTACTATAGCTGAAACAACAACAACAACAAGCAAAATAATTAAAATTAATTTATGCTAATAAACAAACTTTTAGCGACAGTTTCAAAGATGGTAATACAGACATATTTTATTTTTTAATAATCAGTAACACAGGCATGCATCACCGCAATACATGAAATGTAAATTTTTCCACACCTGAAGATTGGCATGACTTCCTCGTTTAAATACCCACTCGAAAAAAATTGCTTCCTTTCCTTGCTTTTTGAAGTAAGCTCTGAAGCTGTTTTGAAGACGTTCCAATTCCTTTTCACATTCTTGTGGAAGAGATAACGTATTGGGTGTATGTTCAATGGGCATAATCAGTGCATGATCTGGTAATAAAGGTCCTTTAGCAAGTGCACAGTAGTAATATTCTCCAACACTAGTGATGAGATGTGACTCAACATTCGGGCTTGACAAACAAAACCAACATTCTCTAGACCTGAAAAAAATTGAAAGTCACCACAACAGCCAGATTTATCATGTAAAGAAATAGGAAGTATTAATGAAGGCTCACAAAGTGACACACCAAAGTCATCATGAAAAAACAAGTAGTAGTTCTATAAATATCAACCTGTTAGAGCTTGCTGCACCAGACGCTGATCTGCCACCTTCTTCCTGCAAACTGTGCTTGAAGTTGCAATCGGGACCTCTTTCACATTTTCCCTTGTTGAGAAAGTCAAAACACACACCTCTTGAGTACTGCTGCATAGCTTCTTCATCATGCCTAAAGTGGCACTTCTCTCTTGGACAAGAGCCAGAAGAGACAAATTTAAAGCAGAGTCTGTCGCCATTACCATCTCCATGTTTCTGCCTTTTCTGAGATACATCATATCTCCAATACTGTGACTCAGACGTACTATCACCGGGCCTCTTCGTTGCTCCATCGGGTGGGGCTGCTTTGTCAACGTTGGTATATGGAGATAAAGTAGTGTTTGGTGGCTTTGCCCTAAGTTCAGGTTTCGACATTGTTGATGCCGGAGTGGGGGATATTGCATGAATAAATTTCTGCAAAGCATTCATGCAATAAAATGAGGATTCAAAATGATAAAAAAGAGATGAGGTAGACCTAAAATCATACAGAGAGAAGTTGTCTTTAAGAACCTATAATCTCTTGGAATGAATGCAGACTTAGCTATACGCTAAGAACACAACACAATAGAAGCAGAAGATCCATTTGCACAATATCAACTAGTTGAGATTAAGGTTTTAGTTGTCATTGTTACAGTGATATCAAGTCCAGCATTTGAAATCAGAAGTCTCTCATTTTGTGAAAGACTTGTATGCCCATTGAAGGATAAGTGTGAAATTCTAGGAAACTTCTAGTTTTTGAGATCTATTACTTACCTTCATTAATTTCTGATAATGACATTTGAAAAATTGAAAACTACATAAGAATTTTAGATCTTAAGAGTTTTACTATAGCATTTTCAGAATATGCACATAATCAACAAGTTTGACCCTAAACATTAATGAGAGAGAGAGAGAGAGAGAGAGAGAGAGAGAAGAGAGAGAGAGAGAGAGAGAGAGAGAGAGAGAGAGAGAGAGAGAGAGAGAGAGAGAGAGAGAGAGAATGTGTCTGTGTGTTAAAGGGTGACACAGCCACTGAAACTAGAGAAATAATAATGTTTGGTAAAGCATTCTCGATATGTAATAGAACTGCTTAGGAAGCAGAGATAAGTTTCAGAAGCAGGAAATTTAAATCAAATATCAAAGGTTGTAATACCTGTTTATCTTTGTTTCCAACAGAAGCTAAGCCCAGAAAGCGAGTTACGTGTGGAGCATCAACATTAGCATATGGTTGACGATCAAAGTATACACCCATAGTTCCTGCAACATGATACCTACCAGCGGTACAATTTTAGTTGGAGAAAAATTCATATCTATAGATTTATAGGGCAACAAAGTATAGATCTAAATGAAAAGTACTGGTTCATTCAAACGAAGAAAGAACTAGAAAGCAACAGAAAAAATGTTGTTCACCACCACTCCAGACATGCACACAGGATAGTGGCTGTTAGAGCATTCACATTAACAGAACATTGTGAATTCTCCGAACGAGGAAATAAATTTTAAGAAATTTTACTTAATTTTTTCAAATTGATATTCAGTAAGCTGACTGCCAAATGCTAATCCCCACAGCTTAATTTTACTTTAAGTGAAGCCTAAGTATATCAAGGATAAACACATCCGCTTGGAATGAAACTCTTGGAGAAGATTTGCTAGTTCAAGCAAGGAACTACGAAGGTCATGACACATATCACCTCAAATTAACTATGTAATGCCAGCCCAGCGTAGGTCTAAATGAAGCTTGCATTATTAATGGACAAGGAAAATAAGCAGAATCTCAAAAAAGAGTTAGTGGCAGCCTACAGTGTATACATACAATTGATTTTGTAGCACACAATTCTTTTTAATGAGAAATACAACATAGCTATTAGTTCTAAATTTTAAAGATTCAAATTTTCTTCTCAATAGGTAGCGAGGAAACGTTGAAACGAAGCTCAAGAACAAAGAACTTGATTGCCCACGAATAATATATTCAATAACTGAACTGCACTTTGTAAAAATATGATCACTTACCGAGGCTTAATCTCAGCTACTAATTCTGACACTGTGGGATCACTACCAGATGAATCAGAAATTTCAGAAGGAACATTTGATGTCACTCCATTTGTGACTCCACTGGGCCATTCATTAGTGTTTTTGATTAAGGAAATCAAAGACATTGTATGGAGTGGTCAAAAGGGGGTGTGGTGCAGAAAAAGAGGGTGATCAATATAAAACCAAAGGATATGTAAGAAATATGTCTACTGTTCCCGGATCCTCAGCTAAAGCCCTCAAAGCATCAACATCGTCTTGACTGTATGTTCCAAATTGAGCTCCAGTTGGAGATCGCCTACCAGATAAGTATGCCACAGATAACCCTAAGCATGAGTACAGTATAAATCAGATATCACATCAAACACAAAGTCTAAAAACAATGTTCAGTCATACACCTGGGGCCAAGAAAACAGTAATTCGATATGAGAGTACGAGACAACCCTAACTTCTTTAGCCTCTCTAATTCATGATAGAGACATCAGATATTACCATAAACACTTGCTCTTTGGTGAGATTCTAATCTCACAAAGCAAGCTAAACACACAATAGGAGGAATATTCCAAATTAACGGAAAACAGGTAGTTATCATGGACTAGATGCAGTTTAGAAAAAAAAATAGTAACAACAACAATTATATTAATCAATTGGTCAATCAACTAAGCCTCAAATCCCAGATCAATGGGGAAAAAAAATACACTTTTTCACGAAATTACAATGAATTGCTCAATGTTTAGATGTGCTCACAACAAGATTTCCTTTTCGATATGTTAAATTACACAATGCTTAGACATTCTCGTAACAAGCTTCAACTTTCAACTTTCAAATCTTAGGTGTCATTATTTCACACTGTATAACTTGGAAACATTGCAACTTTCCACTATCTTTAAGTCAATACAACATAGGGTTAATAGTTTAGCAGAATATGTTAAAAGGGAACATTCGATTTCCGATCTACATAATCCCTCTGGACCGATGCTCTTGATGTGGACGTGATTACCCAAGGCTAGGGGCGGATGTATTATTCATTTAACAGAACCCAATATCTTTTTACACGCAATATAGATATATATGTCATGGTAATCACAAAATGTCAATAAATATTAAGTTCTAAATTCATAATTACAAAAGTACAATAAATTGAGTAGTGAGAATATAAAAGTTGAATCCATCAAATTTAAATACTAAACCCGCCTCTGACTAAGGACATAAAATTAGTGTGCTTTCGAGGTACTACAATTAAAGTTCTTACCATGAAGCTCAAATTTTCCACTGCCTTTCAACCAAAACAAATTGTCACATACTCTAAAACCCTCCATCTTAAACCCTTGATTACTTGGGTCCTTCAATACTGCTGACAAAATTTTCGGGGACCCGACACCATAGTCCCCAATAAAGTAGGTCGGTATGGGAATTTTGGAGCTGCCTTCAATGTATCCATTGAATTCCTCAAGCCCTTCAATTGAATCCGGGAAAAATTGGCCCACGCAGAATAGAGCATCAAATGGACCAGCTGATTTGTTCACCTGAAATAGTTCAAGTTCAGCTATACAGTAAGCAGTTGATTTTTAAATCCAAAATTTAGAGTTAGTGAGCTATGAATGATTGTGTGTGTGTGTGTGTATATATATATATATATATATATATATATATATATATATATTCGAAAATAATGTGAGTAGAGAAGAAGAAGAACCGAAGAAACGCGCTTAAATAGCTGATTGAGACGGCCGAGTACGTCACCACAGAGGAGAATTCTGAGAGGAGCCATGACTGAGTAAGCTTGTGAGAGCTCTGAGAGAGAAAACGAGAGAGAATAGGCGAGTCTGGGCCAACTGTAAAGTGCACAAATAGCCGTTTTTAGAGGACTCTATTTAAAGAATAACCGAAGTTTACAATATTTTAATAATTGAGCTTTATTGCTTGGACTCTTTAAAAATGTCAGGTGTGCGTGTCAGATCCTTCTAAAATAGTATATTTTTGAAGGATTTGATACGGTAACGGCTACATATCTTAGAGAGTCTGCACAATATAGGTTTTAGTTGAATTTAGACTATGGCTGACCCTAATTACAGACTTTTTTGTTTTGATAATTCAACCTCCAAAACTTTTGATAAAAAGTTAAGTAGGTTATAGCAGTTCAAATTTCATATCCGAAGGTTTAAATAAGAAACAACAATAAGAGTATTTTAAATTTATTAAAACCGATTACAATTTAAATATTATATATTTTAAAAAATGACTAAAGTTTAGAAAGAGGTGCAAAAAGTGGCTACCAAATGTAAGAAGATGTAGGCTGGTGCAAATTTATACAACTAAATGCTACAAGGAATCGCTACCAACTAAAGGCTACCAAATAGTGAAGTTTAAAATTTTGAAATAGCACCCTTAAAATAGGCTACCTGGTGCAAATCTTACACGTAAGACTCCATTCCACTTTAACGCCCAATTAGTAAAAAGCCCACCTAACTAGGGCTCCGTTTTAATATTTTCAATTTTCCCAAATCCAGAAGCAGCAATAAGGAAGAAGAATTGTATCGTTACAGAAATCGCTATGGATTGTTCGATTAGGATTCAGAATCCATTGTCCACGACAATAACCAGCGCATTGTTTTCTAATAAAAAGTCGGCAAATTTTAGGGTTTTCACTGTTAGATGTTCTTCTAAAACCCTTTCCTCTGATGGTGCACCCTCTGGTTTGTCTTTTTTCTATCTTTATGTCAATTATCAACTGTTGAATTCTTCTTGTTTTTTTTTTTTGAATTTATTGTCCTGCAGCAAAATTATTAGAAAATATTGGAAGACATGGAGGAAGAAAGTGTGAAACATAGTCAAGGAGCTGATTGTGCTATTCTAATGTAGTAACTAGTACAGTTAGCTGCAACTGATATACATTATAAGTGATTTTGCGTGAGATGAAAGTGAGGGTGAGAAATAGTGGATGACTTTTTGTGTATATACAAACATAGTTATGTCTGCGGAAATATGGGATGACATTCTTTTGTACATTTATTGGACGCATCTGTTGGATGAATACAATAAATAGTTATTGTGCATCAATTTATACTCTTTTGTTTTCTGACTCAACTACATCCCATTTTCCTTCTGTTCTTAGTTCAAGCTCGTTTTAATCCCTCTAAATTTAAAATCTTGACATCAACTTCAAGAGATTTCGGGCAAATAAAACTAGGAATGGAAATCCTAGGTGAAATTTTATACAGAGATCTAAGAAAAGCACAGAGAAAATATTGTTTCTTTTGGTAGTAGTCAAAAAGACTTGTAATCATGCTCTTTGTATTATTCTTGGTTGAGTTATTATTGTTCTTGACACCCTATATTTCATTAAAGGTGATTGTAAAAAATATAGATGAGGAACAAAATCTTATAAAAAGCAAAATGTTAACGATTAAGTTACACCTACGGTGAAGTAACTATCTATATCTGGAAGGGATAATGGAGTTAAATATGTGAAGTGAGATATTGTTGTACTTTTCTGCATTTTGGCATCTGCTTTGTTTAGTTACTCCATAAGCTGGGACATTTTAGCCCTGTCTTGACATCTGGTTTGAGTCTGTTATCGTTCCCTTTTTTAGACTCAGTACTATTAAGTTTGTTTTTAGTATATATTGTTGTCAATTGATTTTATGAGCTCAAGGACCTTTTATTCTCCTTATTTTAGATTTGTTTCAAATTATAGAGAATATTAGAACTCTGAATGAATCAATATTTTTCTGGATGAGCTGCAGGTCTGGTTGAAAGACCATGGAAGGTAGCAGATGCTAGGCTGGTTCTCGAGGATGGTTCAATTTGGAAGGCCAAATCATTTGGTGCTTCTGGAACCCAAGTTGGAGAAGTTGTTTTTAATACATCTTTAACTGGGTAACACAAATTCTTTTGCTTACGAATTTATGAAACATTACGTTCATAACGGATAAGTTATTTACTAAATTGTCGTAGCTACCTGTATTCTGAATGCTTGATGTACCTCATAGATTTATTTGGAGCATGCAGAAAAAATAATGATTTATTTGCTCTCTACTTTCTTTTCTTTCTTCTTTGATGCTTTTTTCTTTTTTCAAATTGTTCTTGGTGTCTAATTTACTAGCTATTTGTATTTCCTGATATTGCAGGTATCAGGAGATCCTTACTGATCCCAGTTATGCGGGCCAGTTTGTCTTGATGACAAACCCTCATATTGGGAATACTGGGGTCAATTTTGGTGCGTGTAGAGTTTTCTTCATGACTAACTGTTACTTTTGTTTGAATAATTTTTTGACTCTTGGAATTTCTCTGGGCAGGCGATGAAGAATCGATGCAGTGCTTTCTTGCAGGATTAGTCATTAGAAGTTTAAGTATCAGGTTTGGTCTCTATGCCTGCTTTTCAAATCAGTCATCAAACATATGATGTTTACTGTTTTCTGTTGCGTATTTCTCAGCACCTCAAATTGGAGATGCAAAGAGACACTTGATGAGTATTTGGCTAAAAGGAACATCATGGGTATATGTAAGTCCTCTACGTCCTGTACAAGACTACTTCTCACTTCCATGTAAACCGAGGAATTCAATATCTCTGATCATTTAGCTGTACTACCGTGTAACAGATGATGTAGACACTCGCGCAATAACGCGAAGATTGAGACAAGACGGAAGCCTCATTGGAGTCCTGAGCACGGAAAATTCAAAAACTGATGAAGAACTTCTCAAAATGTCTCGTACATGGGACATTGTGGGTAAGTTACTGTCCTTGTTTCTTCCTGATTTTGGAAATTTATTTATTTTGAATGGAAATTTTTTTATTATTAACATATTACGTTATGCAGGTGTGGATTTAATCAGTGGTGTTTCATGCAAATCTCCTTATGAATGGGTTGATAGAACAGCCTCAGATTGGGATTTTAATGATAATGGAAGAAATAAAGAAACTTTTAATGTCAGTATAGTTAGAGTTTATTAGATTCTGGAAAAAAAAAATTTGTTGTGGTAACTAATATCTTGTCCATCTGGTGGATGAAGGTTGTTGCATATGATTTTGGAATCAAGCATAATATACTTCGGCGCTTAGCATCCTATGGCTGTAAAATCACTGTTGTTCCTTCAACATGGCCAGCGTCCGAAACTCTAAAGATGAAACCTGACGGGGTTCTCTTCAGCAATGGGCCAGGAGATCCCTCTGCAGTTCCCTATGCAGTTGAAGCGGTAAAAGAACTTATTGGAAAAATTCCTGTTTTTGGCATTTGTATGGGTCACCAGTTACTTGGTCAAGCATTGGGGGGTAAGACATTCAAAATGAAATTTGGTCATCATGGAGGAAACCATCCAGTTCGAAACCTTCGAAATGGCTGCGTCGAGATCAGTGCTCAGGTATGTTAAACAGCAAACTCTAGCTGAATAGTGATTTCTGTAAATTTCCAAATTTTCCATATAATTACACCTCAGTTCATGAATGTTTACTTCCCTTTATAAGTACTACCTTCGACACATAGTGATGAGAGTCTAGTTTTTCAGTTTAAATTAGAGCTGTTAGTACTTCAGATTTCTAACATTTTAAAATCTTGGTGACTCTCCGTATGCTGCAGAATCACAACTATGCCGTTGACCCTGAGTCTCTTCCAGAAGGTGTAGAGGTGACTCATGTAAATTTAAATGATGGAAGTTGTGCTGGTCTTGCCTCCTCTAAAATGAAGCTGATGTCACTTCAATACCATCCCGAAGCATCTCCAGGACCTCATGATTCAGATCCTGGTAAACATATCCTGACTCGATCTCCTCTTACACAAAAAACGTCGGCCAATTTGTTCATTGGTTGTCTTTAGCTGTTAACTTTTAACAAATATAGCTGTACATATGAGGATTTACGAAGACAATTAAGTACAATCTGGAGAATAATGATTTCACATGGTCAATCATTTCTACAAAAGAAAATTTCTGAACAACTACTTTATTTTTTATTAATCCCAAGTTAGGATTCTGCTGTCTAATTCAATTAAGAAATCTACTTTATTTCCAGCTGGTCTTGTGTTCATGATCACTCTCTCATATTTCAATTTCCATTGGAACTTTTGAGACAAATAGAATGATAAAAGAGTCAAAAAATTCATAAGAGTAAACCATGATTTGCTTGCATCTGAGTGCAGCTACTTGAATCAAGCCATAATTATGTCAAAATTCTCATTGTATCCTTTACTTGGGCAGTATTTGGGGAATTTATACAACTTATGAAGCAAGAAAAAGTGAAGGCATAAGCCAATTTCCCCAGAAGAGCCTGAAGCAACTGTCGTGTTTGAAGGAACCACATTCCGGAAAAGAGAATTTCGATGAGACTTTGCCATCATCAAGTGAGAGCAATCTGTCGTGCTGCACCTCTTCTTGCTATAAATCAAGTCAGAGCAATCTGTCGAGCTGCACCTCTTTGCAATTATATCGATGGATATATATGGTTCTAATTTTTGTTCAAGTAAAGGTTGCGCCTTTATCTAAGTCTTAAGACATATTACTAAATATTTGGTTTGTGTAGTAGTACTCTGTGGTTTGGTACTTGTAATAATACACTTTTTTCCATCTTAAACAAAGATTCACTTAGCTTCTGATTAAGTTGCTCTTGTGGTTTGAGGAACTACTAGGATAGTGCTCCTTTATCCTTAATAGATGTCTCAGGTTCGAGTGTTGGCTATGACGTAGCCTTTGTTAGGTAGCGCTTTATTCCCTGCGTGGAAATTAAGTTGAATCCCAGTGCGGGTACCAAAACCGGGTTGGAAACTTTTAAAAAAAGAAAACTACTGGGATAGTGCTGGCTTGTTTCTTGCAGGACGTTTTATATTTGTTATCAACATCATACCATAGATGCCTCTCTTTTACGGGAGTTTTTCTTACCTACACTATAGTAGGAACTTATTAATTTATTTTCTCATAGGTTTTGTAGTTTTCAAGAAGTATCTAGATTTTTCTTACAAATTGTATATTTTCCCCCCTTAAAAGGCTCTCATCCCATTATTAATACCTTGAATTAAGGGATTCAATTATATCCTTTCCCTTTTTCACACTTCTCCTCATTTCATGCATCCTAATTTTTTCAGTACGCAGATCTCATCTTCTCTCTCTCTTCGATAGTTGCAAGTCTTCAACAAAAAGATGGTAATGTTGCTTCAGTTGTCGAATCATTTTGGTTGGAACCTTCAAATACTACTATATATTTTATGTTTCTATTATCCTTATAATATTAGAAAGTTATCCCTAATCTAACAAATCCAATAACACATATCTGCTTTCCATAATAGAAACCAAAAAATAAAAATATCTTTGCAATAAAAATCTATACACACGGCATAGAATGTCATGCGATGACAAAAAAATTCTTTTGCTAAAAGTTTCTTCAACAATTCAAAAATCGTTGAACTCTAGCAAAACTATTACTAAAATGATAATGGCTCATACACAATTCAAATGTGAAATTGGCCACAAACTTACAATTGCTCATCACCGTCTACAATTATCATACATTTGTGATATAATTTATGCAACACCTATGATACAAATACAATTATGATACAAAATTGATACAATTCTAATCTTTATCTTCTTCAAGTTTCAATCATAACTATAAACTTAAACTGATACAATATTGTATTATAATTGTATTCGTACTGTATCCGATATTATTTTATATATTGATGTATCGGATACAAGTTAAATACAATTTTGATACAATTGTGATACAATTACAAATCTGATACAATTATCATACAATCGTGATACAATTCAGACACTTCTTCTTCGAGTTTCAATATGAAATTTTACCCAAAAACAACTCTAAACTTAACCAATCTTTGTCAAAATTGAGATATAAACTCCAAGTTATATTCTCAATTATTTGCTAGAACACCCAATCCAAACAATTCACAAATTCGTAAAACCCAAATGTTGAATTCAAAGCTGCGAAGCTTTTCAATGGTTGTCAATTGAGATCTCTTTGCTACTGCAATTTCAGAGATAATGTCGATGAATTTGTGTGAATAGGATGAGATTTGGGTTGATTTGTATGAAAGAGAGAAATATTTCAAAATCTTTTTGAAAATGGGATGAAAATATGATTTTAGGGGCTTTGTATAACTGATATACATGAGAGAGAGGGAGAGGGGGCTGACGTGGGGGAGGGGGAAGGGAAGGGTTGTATCAGTTACTCCTAATTTTAAGGATATTCTCTTTATTAAGGTTTTGTATATAAATAGTAATTATAGATAGAGAATATAATTTTTAAGGAACCTAAAGAAAAATGGTAAATAAATTTCTAAAATAGTATAGCTAGGTAAATTTCCCCTCTTTTATGGCACAAACGATGCAAGAATGTGTATTTGGTGCGTTGGATATAAAAATAGAGTATAGTTTGGTGCGCTCTCTAGCGGATTTGCACAAATAGCCACTTTTGTGGCATTTTGGCTACTTTTCAAAACTAGACCAGTAAAAAGGAAAAGGGAAAAAAGTAACTTAAAAAATATTTAATAAAAAGAAAATAAAAGTATTGCAAACAATAGTATCTTTTTATTTTTTCTTTGCTTCACCCAGCTCGGGAGAGTTAATAAAAAGATGTTGCAAATAATAAAATTTTAACTTGTTTAACAATAGTATCTTTTTATTTTTTCTTTGATCAATTACAAGGAATTATTAGTTGCTTACAAGGACAATTTATGCATTAACCCTTTCTAAAATTTCTACGTCCTATTTTTTGCTTTAAATAAGATGATTATTATTTGAGAAGTTAATTTAACTGTTTCAAGTATTGCTCTTTGAATCTTGTTGTTCTTTCTAGAAGAATAGAATAATTTTAGTGTTTCCAGATACATAATAGAAATAATATATTAGAAAAAACAAAAACAAAAAGAAACTTAAGAAGAAAAAAAAACCTGGAAAAAAGAACCATTAAAGATTCTGGTGAGATGAACATAATTCGTTCGCCATTAATTAATTAGAGATTTCGGATACGAGTGATATGAATTTAAAAAAAAAAAAATCCCAAAAATCTGCACTTACTTCAACTGTTAATTTAGCAGCCTTTTGCCTTTCATAACAATCCAACATTCTGCCTGCTTATTCCCAACATAATCATTAATCTAAACTCATATTCTTTAATCCTTTCTCATCACACAATATTTAAACTTAATCCTAACTACTGATCTTTAATTACCTCAACTAATTCGGATTCACATTCTTTTATTCACGATGCGTGACATTTATTAAAAGGAAAAAAGTACTTTCTACCAGAAATTTTTTCGCTAACACTAAAGTTTTAATTAGTTTTATTCGGAGGCGGATCCAGGATTTAAATTTATGGGTTCAGTTTTAATATTTTTAACATTGAACCTATTATTTTTTTAAAATTATGGGTTCATATCTATTATTTTACAATTTTAATAAATTTTTACATACAAATTTTTATTCCGCGTCAAAGTTATGGGTTCAGTTGAACTTCGTCCCGTCTGTATAGACTCATCCTGTCCTGCTTAACTTTTCTTCGAATTTTTTTATTTAGTTAAACTTGACGAATTTAAACAGTAAAACAAGTTGATTTTAATTTACCTCGCCTCTGGATTATTTCACTTTTAATTTTCAAAAATAAGTTCTTCCGTCCTGCTACGTTACCATATGCTTTACTTCTCTCTATAGTTTTTTTTTTTAAAAAAAAATTATATTTTACCTTTTCCACAGCTTCTCAATATATCAAATATAAGAAAAAAAAATTTACAACCATAAAGTTCAGAAGAAGAAGAATAAAAGCTTTATATTCATCATAGTTGCCTCGTGAGAAAGTTCTATTTCATCATCATTGTCGAATTCTCTTTAGAAAAGTGTCCATTTAACTAGGTTACCTTTTTATCTTTATCTTTTTCTTTTGGTTGGGGGGGGGGGGGTAGGGATCTAGGGTGGTACTTTAGAAAAAATTTCCACTTTGCTTAACCTTGCATAAATTTTGAAAGATTTAGTACAATCCAAAAGATAATTAAAGGTATTTTTCTTATAATACTGATATTCGGCTCAACTATGCGTACCTCGACTAATTCTATCATGTACCAGCGACCTTCAGTGGCAGAGGCAAAATTTTTGATAAGGGATTCGAAAAAAAAAGTTAAAAAATTAAAAGAGATTATGGCTGAGGGAATTGAACTAGTGACCTTACAAAGATTTTGAACCCCTTTGGCTACTGAGCTATGGTCTTCAATTAAGTTAAAGGGATTCAAAATATAATATATAGAGGTACAAAACAGTTTTTTCCGTATATATACAATGTAATTTTCTGGCGAAGGGTGTTTGGGTGGACCCCCTTCCGCCCTTCTAAATCCGCCCCTGATGACCTCCCACCCAAAGGCAAACCTATGTATTGAGTTTAGGGGCCAACCGGACCCCCTTTACTTCGGGAAAAGTTATTGATATATATGGATTTATATATTGAAATAGTCATATATTTTGCTCGGAGCCTTTATGATAAAAAATCTGATGAAGGTACCGGTTGAGTAATCCATTCATGTGCTCTGCCATTTTTAAGTCCCGGGTCTGTCTCTGCTCCTACCAATATAAGTATATATATCGAATAATTCTATCCATCAAAACTTGAGATATATCATACATCATGAACTTAAACAATCAAGAACTTGATTATATTAAAATCTTTCTAACTCAACACACTAAGTACATGCCCATGTCTATCCTACCACTAAAAAAAAAAAAATTAATTAAAAATTCTTTGTCCTGGTGATAGAATCATTTTTGGATCAAATTGACTTTTTCTTTGTTGAAAAATATTCCACTTTTTGCCAAAATGTTTTATCCAATCCTCTTTTGTTTTATAATGTGGAAGATACTGCTTTATCTTGAGGCCAGCTTTATCACAGTAATTCAAGATTTCTTCATTTTGTTCATCCAATATTTTCCAGTCATTGAATCCACTTGAATGCAATAGCCCCACACAGTAAAATGTCTCCTCTTCTGGTATCACTGCTGACATCCTCTCATCCCATCTGCATTAAAAAAAAAAATTAATTTCTATGCATTAACTATCAAATTATTTAAAAGATAAAGTAGAATTTGTAAATTACCTACTAAACTGAAATGTAACCTTCTATATTATAACAAGCTAAAATAATACTAATAGTGTAAAATTTAATGAGTCGGTGAATATAAGTTAATTATCCTTTTTTTTTTAAATGATACTCCCTCTATCCAATTTTATGTGACATATTTTTCTTGTTAGCTTTATTACATTGCTGTCGTATATTTAAGACTACAAACTCTAAAAAAAAATCTGAAACAACTCTGATCCAGTCAAATGCCTTCACATAGAATGAAAAAGCGTTTTTTTTTTTTCCGAATTTTCCACTCAGTGTTCGATTCATGCATTGGGCCGTACTAAGTCCGAGGTCGAGCTGGAAAGTCTCACATTAAGGACTCGTTTGGTATGAGGGATAAGGGATAATTAATCCCGGGATTAAATTTGAGATGAGTTTATCTCATGTTTGGTTGAGATAAAATCGTGGCATAATTATAATCCGGGATAATTAATCATGGAATAACTTGTTTCCCAGCTAAATGACCCCTAAGGGGTAAATAAGCGCTCCGTGAATTTATACCTTGAGCTAAAACCCGAGACATCTGGTTAAAGATGAAGGAGTTCTTACCACTTCATCACAACCTTGATTGGTCATGAAGAGCGCAATATTACAACTAATTATCTCTATATTAAAAGAGGGGGGATGGGGGGTGGGGTGGGGGGTAAGAGGGAGAAAAGAAAGTTTTTAGGAGTACTTTTTTCTGCTTGTTGGGTAGACAAGGATAGGTCCTGTTGTCTTGTTTTGTCTGAGAATAATGTCCACAAAAACACTAGCATTGAAATCCATGATACTTGATTTTGGTACAAAGAGATTGAGCCATGGATGTGGAACATCCCATTGTCCTTTTGATTGTAGCTCTAACTCTCCTCTTCTTACTCTATTCAAAAAATCCACAAATGTGACATCTTTCTTGAAGATAAATCCAGGCAAAAAGTTCAATCCTTTTACCAACCTTTTTAATTCCTGCATAAAAAAATTAGAGTAATTATTGTATGATTTATTCAAATTAGTTTTACTACATTGGTAAGAAAATTGTCTAAATCTTTCTTGGTCAGGCAGCTGATGCACAAAGCATCTCGCATTCACGGAGAGTATCGGGAAGGGCTACAACTCTAGGGTGTGTGAAAACAACCTACCCTAATCCAAGTATTAATGGTTATTCCACGACTCGAAAGTGTGACATATTAGTCACACGGGGACAACTTAACCGTTGTTCCAAGGCTTCTGTTCTGTCTAATCTTTCTTGGTGTTTCTAAATAATTAAGGGGTTATAGAAATAGTTTAACTTATGTGAACGGACGATAAATATCTTTTTTGCACTTTTAGGTAAATGTGACCTGCAATGATAGGAAACTATATCTAGATTTTAATTAAATCTAGTTTGGCAACATAGTAAATGTGGTAAAATAACATGCTATAATCAATTAAAATATACTAATAACATAAAATAATTTTGCAATATCAGTATATATAAGTTAAATCATTATAAAAATAATTCCAATAGTAATTAATTAGTACCTCATCAATAGTATTAGCAGTCTGATCATCATAGTACTTGACCATTTCTAGGCAATAAATAATGCCATTTTGGGATAATAAGGAAGCTATTTTGATCTGATTAGAAGGTGAGAAAAATGAAGATCTCCAATTATTTAGAGAGCTTTGTTCCATCATTAGAGATCCTTCAACATAATCCAGGCCATCAACTGAAATCAAATGTTCTTGGTCTTTTGTGAATTTTGAGAAATCTGCATATAGCATTCTCACCCATTTCACCTATAAGAAAAATAAAAATAAAATCGTGTCACTTATAAGATAATTACAGGTAAATCGTTATGATAAACATTAATAATAGATGAGATGGTAAAGATGATATTTAATATGCAATCACATGTTAAAATATACTAAGGGCAGCCTGGTGCAGTAAGCTCCCGCTATGCGCGGAATCCGAGGAAGGATCGGACCACAAGGGTCTATTGTAGACAGCCTTACTCTGTATTTTTGCAAGAGGCTGTTTCCACAGGTCGAACGCGTGACCTCCCGGATAGTGTAAAAAAAATTCTAGCTACTTGTCAATCAAGGCGGATTTAGGCCGTTTTTACGGGTATACGTGAATCCATGATCTTTCCCACAAATTAGGTATTTTATGCATATATTATGTGAAATTGACCTAATATAATCTTTTGGCCCTCATGCTCTAAAAATGTTGAATTGTCACCTAGTTGAATGATTGAGTTACTTCTCCAAAAGGTATACGGATCGACTCTCACTTAGTACCTTTTTCTTACTTTTTTAATGATGCACCCGTGTTCTAAAAATTTTAGATCCACCTATGTTGTCAGTGTATATAACTAAAATCCAGTTAGAAAATCTTTAAATATGTATATAGTACTTACTCTTGTTGGTGCTTTGTCTAAGACAATTCTTGCCCTGGTTATTATTCCAAACTGTCCCAAACCTCCTAAAACTGCAAAGAACAGTTCTGAATTCTTGTATTTGGAGCAAGTCACAAATTCCCCTTTACCTGAAACCAAACATGAGAAGAAAAATTAAAGTTATAAACAATTATTTAATTATGTTATCATTAACATCATGCAAAAATATATTATATATTTCCCAAATTGTGTGATTAAGGAAATTATAAACTAGACCTGCCACTTGCAATTAAGTATAGATTTTTCTATCTTATTTTAATATAAGGTGAATCTTACCTACAAGATCTTCCAGGTGGAAAAGTAGACATCACAACCTATCAATGAATACTAGGCACATCCTTTTACATGTTAAAAAGAAAAAAATTATATCTGTATAAAACTTTTTTCTAAAAGAATCTTACTTTGTTAGGCCCCAAATGTGACATGTTTCCAACCTTAACTAAGTTTTGATAGTGACTATCTCCCCACATTTTTTATGTACTTACAATACTTTTCATCAAAATATAATACCCCCAAAAACAAAAAAATTAAACCTTTCATTGATACTATTGGACTGTAAGTTTTGATAGTCGTATAATTTGAATAGAAGAAAATGTACCTGTAATAACGTCCATTTCATAAACATTACTAATTTGAGGACCATGTCGGAAAGTTTGGCCACTAATTCCTGCATTAGAGAGAGTACCACCAACAGTGAGGTACAAGTAATCAGTCCACGAGACAGGCGAAAGCCCATGCTCGAGGGTAGCACGAAGAACATCAATCCATAACTGTTCGCCTCCTACATCAGCGTAAAACCCTAAAGAAGAATCCCAAGAAACCCTAATTCTATAACTTTCATTTTTATTATTATTGTTGTTGTTGTTATTATTATTCAAAGAATTCATTTCCACAACAACACCATTTTGTGCCATGGCTTGTCCCCTAATGGAATGGCCATGACCTCTTGCTGCTATATGAAAAGGGGTAGAAAGACCATAGGAAAATTTAATTAACTCAACTATATCATTAATAGAAGAAGGATAAAGAACAGCAGCTGGGATTTCTTGAACAATTTTCCCAAAATCCGTGGAAGTTTCACTAATGGAATCTGAATTTGTACTAAGTTTAGAAGCTATATCAAGGGAAAGAATTTCATAAGGAATAGAAGGATTATTCCATGGCTTTAACTTTCCTATAATAGACATTAAACGACTAATAATGAAGAAAATAATGAAGTTATAACTAGGAGAAAGAAGCTTAGACATTTTAATATAGGAAAAGAAGTAAGAAGAGAAGAAGTAGGTGATTTTAGAGTTGGGATATGAGGGTATATATAGAGGGGGTGGGGGTGGGGGTGGGGGTGGGGGGTGGGATAATATTTGCATGCAAATGAAGAGTTAGAAATCTTGGAGGGCATAGTACAAAGATTCAGAAGATCTTTGAAAAATATTACAAGGGAGGAGAGAAAATTCTATGAAAGATACGAAAGGACAAGACTTTTTATGATTATTGCTCTTTTGCCTTTATGTTTCTAAACGTCATAACTTTCTCATGGGATGAAGGATTAGAATTAGATCAAAATTCACCTCTTTCATGTGTTATAGTATTGTCGTTGCATGATCAAACCAAGATTCCCTAATGCCACCCATGTGTGCGCGTGTTAGTGAGACAACACTGTACTCGGAGGCGAGTTTAGAATTTAAATTGGATCGGCTTAATATTTATGTTCTTATTGTTAGATCATGTATTAATGATGCAAATAATATACATGTGCAGGAAATCAAGTTCAAGAAGTAAAGAAGACTGCTAGAATGGTTCATGATGTACAAGGAAAGAAATCAATCAGCATGTGATCAGCAAATCTGGATTGGTCTCGTAAATCTGGGCGAAATATATCTAATCAACGAATCAATCAACAATAACAATGATTAGTTGAGCTGGAAAAAATCAAATAAGCCTTGGCCAAAGGCACGAATCATGGGCAGAATCACGGAAGACTAAAGGATACGAGGAGATCTGGGAAGCGACCACAATTGGAAGATCCAACAATCAAGGAGAAATTAAGTGAAGCAATCCTCTGCTAAAGGAAAGCAATCAAGAGAAGCAATGACTCATTCCTTATTCTTGGAAAGAATCAATTCTTTCCAAGGATCAAATCTCTTGGGTTGTCAAGCCTCTACCTTCCATCAAAGTATTTATACACCCTTGTAAACCCTAGCTTAGACATACTTTGATCAAACCAAATCACTCTCTTTATTCTACTGCAAACAAGCATTGTAGTTCACTAAGATCTGCTGTGTAACAAGTCAGGGATAGAAAGAGAGCACACAACTGGTGAGGCATTGTATCAAAAACGAGTGCTAGAGAAACTGAGCGATATACACCACATCTGTACTCGGAAGGAACTCATTTACTGAAGAGAACTCCCTTGCAATCCAAGGGGACTGGATTAGGATTCACATTGAATCCGAACCAGTATTAAAATTCCGGTGTTTTTAATTCCTGCAATTATTTTCTGCATTTTACTTTCCGTTACCATATCTGCTAAATTATCATATTCAGCCGACTACTCAAGTTTTAAGTCAACTTATAAGCAATTAATTTGAAGTATTTACAATTCACCACCCCTCTTGTACTTTCACTTATTACTAAATTTATTTGCCTCGCTTCCTTCATTTTGTACTCCACCATACAAGCCACACTCCCGTCTTATCTCGTATATCTTCATTTTTAATCCTATCTCTCCTAGTATACATGCACATCTGTCTTAGAATCCTCATTTCCGCTACTTTCATCTTCTTAACATAAGAGGTCTTGATCGGTCAACACTCTCCCCACATGACATAGCCGGTCACCACTCTGTAGAATTTATCTTTAAGTCTTGGTAGCACATTCTTATTGCATAGATGTAAGCCTCTTTTTATCTATCTGCTCCAACACAATGAGTGACATCTTTGTCAATCTTCCTATTGCCTTGAATTATAGACCCAAGATACTTGAAACTTCCTCTCTTGGGGATAATTTGTATGTTCAGCTTCACTTCAATGCCAACCTCCTGAGTGGCATCACTAAACTTGCACTCCTATTATTCTATTTTAATCCTGCTCAGCCTGAAACTTTTAGACTCTAGGGTCTGCCTCCAAATCTCCAGTCTAGTATTAACCCCGCCTTACATCTCGTCAATCAGTACTATGTTATCTGTAAATAACATGCATCGAAGTACATCCTCTCTAATGTGATGCATCAACTCATCCATCATAAAGGCAAATAAGAATTGCATCAAAGTACATCCCCTCTAATGTGACACGGCAACTCATCCATCATCAAGGCAAATAAGAACGGACTGAGTGTCGATCCTCGGTAAACCCACCACGGTTGGAAAGTATCCCGAGTCCCCTCTCACCGTCGCTTATTCAGATCTTGGCCCCATCGTACATGTCCGTAATTGTCCTAATATGTGTGACAGGTACACCTAGTTGTGTGAAACCATGGTAGGTAAATATGTTTAAAAAGAATAAGATATATCTAAAATCATATGAAAGGAAGTTATCCCAAAACTAAAAATTGCAATCTCTTGGAATCAATATATGCAATATCGTCCTAGTGAAAAATAGAGCACGATAGAATAAAAAGATTAAATTAAAAGCACTAAAATTTTAGTCATAGTAATACGTGTATTAGTCTGAAACGGACTTAAATGATGTAACATGAATAACTGAGTTCATATAATTAACTCGTTCTTACTTGAAATTGAAATGTATCGTTATAGTAGCTAAAGCATTATAATTTTGTTGAGTGAATTTAAGTTATACATTAACAATATGAAAAAAATTACGCGATAAGCTTACTTCTAATGATAAAGAAAGCTTCCTTGAAAAGTGGAGTTTCTAATCTTAAAAATAAAGTGAATTACCTACTATAATAAGTAAATATCATTAACATGCTAGTGTGAAATATTTTACAATAATTGTGTATGTAACTTTGTTCAGTATAAAAGTCTCTGAGTTTACGCGGTCTTTGCTTCCAATATTAAGAAACAATAGTCATAATTGGGTCTACATAAAAAGTACATATTTCTCAAATTATCCATTCAATATCTAATGCAATCTTCATATATCTTTGGTTTAATTGGATAAAAATATTGATAGGCATAATACATTTGAAAAAATATTCTACAAATTAACAGCTGACAATGAGAAGGGAAATCTACTGGAAAGTAAGAGGAAACATCAATATGATTTTTTTCCCCTCATTCTAAGATCTTATTTGTAGGTATTGTTGGTAACATATCAATCTGAAAAGTCAATTCCAAAGTATAATTACCACAACTCTGTCTTGTCCATTTCAATATAGATTTCATCACTTTCAACTTGATCCTATCTTTTACTTTAATTTCCCTTTCTATTCTTCTTTTTTTCCTTCTTGTCAGTTTCTTTGATCATGTGTATGCATGTTCTATATTTATTTCACACTATTATAGGACAAATTCATAGTAAGTAACACCAAGTATAGTTTCGTAGAAGAATTATAGCCAGCAAACACTATTTTAAAAAAAAAAAAAAAAATTAGCTATGAAGTTTGACGCTAATATGTCACTAAATCGCTCGTAGCTAATAAAATTTTTGATAATTAATCGCTAAATCGGATTTTTTTTGTTTAACTACAGAATTTGCCCGTCACTAATTTTTTTTTTAGTAGTGAAATTAATGACTCGTTAGTCCAATTACTTAAGTTTATGGGTTCGGCCGATTGTTCATTTGGTATGTTGAAAGTTATTTTCATGAGAAAGTCATTTTTCTGGTATTCATTGATCATAAAAAAAAAAAATCCATTAAAAGGGAAATACTTATCTCACTTAACTATGTGTGAAAGTCACTTTTTAATAATTAACTTAACCTTTAGTTAAGTATTCGACTGATTGTGCATTTGGCATGACGAGAGTTATTTTCATGAGGAAGTCATTTTTTTGGTATTCATTGATCATAAAAAAATTCTATTAAAAGGAAAATCCTAGTATAATTACTTATTGGGGCGGGGTTAGAGTTAAGGCTATGATTTCGACCGATTGTACATTTGGTATGACATAACTCATTTTTACGAGGAAGTCATTTTTCTGGTATTCATTGATCATTGATCACGCCCAACTATGCCTTATAAAAAGGACTCTGCGGATGTTGCAAATATAACCCGAGTATTACGCCCAGGGTCGAATCCACAGAGAGTTAACCTATCAACCACTATCTTCAGACCTACTAATTCTTCAGAACCAGCTTCCCAAATATTCAAATCTCAGTTGAATGTTCTTTAACAACTAGGTTGCAAGTAACTAAATAGCTGTAAACTAAACTAATAAGGTTGTAAACAATTATGAGAAAAAGCTAAGGCAATGATTTCCCCTATTGATGGAATCCCTTCTGTTTATGCTCATACAAATTTACCAACACATCTCTATCAATCATGAACGCTAATCTTACCGTAAATCTCTCCCGAGTAATCACAGTAATTTACTATTGCACTCTCCCGAGATACACTAGCTTACTTTATTTAGCACGATTCACTTTAGATTACACCCAAGGCTTCATTATCCCTAATCCCGCCTTTACACCCGCAATTATAGATTCCTCTAATAATCTAGGAGTGGTGTTGTTCAACAATACTTTAAATATGCACTCTTTTCCAAGTTATGCACACTAAATAGGCACAACTAATTGAGGATCCTGTCAATTAACTACAACAGACACGAAGTTGAACAAATAGAGATTAACTAGCAATTTGTATTCACATAAACAAGAAGTTCATCACCCAATAGGTTCCATCAAAATCTTAGACAAGGAATTTAGCTACTCATGGCTATGGGAAGATAAACTAAGATTGAATTCATCATAAAAATCAAAAGTAAAGAAGAAAGATGTATGGAGTATTCTCTCACAATGGTTTTTCTTGCTAAGAAACCTTAAAAATCAATACATGCCTCTCTTGGGCGAAGTCTAATTTTTTAAATAGGGTTTAGATCTAAAAATCTCGTATTTTACACTTTGTCCCTGAAGTTTTCGCTTCCGCCGCGGTTCTGCCGCGGTCGCGGTCAAACCGCGGCCAAAAGCCTCTCTGATTCTGAATTTCCGCAGCTGCTTCCACCGCGGTTCTACCGCGGTCGTGGTGGAACCGCAGTCAAACCAGTGCTCTGAATCTTCAGGCCTGTTTTGCGTGGTTTACTTGGGAATTTCACAGTTGGCCTCTTTTTCATCAATTTTGACTCCAAAACTGCTCCTT